CATTGCCGGGGTCCGCACTAAGAGCGCCCGAACGGGAGAAGAATTGGAAAGGCCTCGTGTGATAACTTCCTGTAAACGCGTGTTGCATTTTAACGCTTTGCGACCATTAAAGGTGGTAACATATGGAGATGCTGTGGTATCTGCACATGGAAAACACGGCCCAGTTTTGTGCATAACTTCAACTCTGGGTGGGAAAAATGAACCCATCTGAAGAGTCTTTCAAAGTTCTGTAGTTAAAGGCAGAAGAGGTTTTAACTCCTGCACCACCCGGAGTGTAAAACTTCTTTATCGGTGAAAAATCAATTGGTATGGAAAGCAAACGTCCCATGGCATTTATAGATAACTTCCTCAGTTGGACAATGGAGACGAGGTGGTTGTATTCTAGAACAGAACGCTTCTCTCGTCAAATGGGTACAGCAAAAAACCATGCTAAGTTACATTTTTGTTGCCCAAGATTGATTAAACAGGGTATAAGAGAGAACGGAAATTGTGGAGCTAGTGGTAGGCCTTAAAAGAAGGCGAGTCTTACAGCATTTGAAAAAAATGCCCCATCCAGTTGAACCTTTCTCATTAGCACACAGGCACTTACTGTGGTGTTGTATTGGTTCAGTGCCAGTATGTTGAAACTTGTGGGTTCAGAATGTGCAGGTGCAGCACAGTTTCTTCTGACAGCTGTTCCGTCCCGTGTGAGCACGAGCAGGAATAGTATCTTGGTTACGGAAAGGCCTACATGGGGAAAAAAAAAAAAAAACCAAACAAAGAAACTACGTCTTGAAGAAGGAGAATGTTATAAAATGGGTTCCAGGAGCTGGCGTAGTGCAGAAGAAAGTGGGGAGGAGAAAGGTGGCGTTTGACAGTGTCTCGCTCTGAGATGCGCTGTCTGTAGCCGTTTGGAATGGGACTGCGTTTGTGAAACCTGGCACTCTGCCTGCAAATAAATGCTGCTCTGATGTGTTCCTAGTATGTGGCTTAACAATAGCGATTATCTACCCTTTGCAGAGCATTGCGGAAGTATTCCGGTGTTTTATTTGTATGGAGAAATTGCGTGATGCACGACTGTGTCCACATTGCTCCAAGCTGTGCTGTTTCAGCTGTATTCGGGTGAGTTTGCATATCCTAGTTTATTCCTGCAAGTGCACGAACTTGAAAAATGCTGATCTGATGCACACATTCTTACTTCTTGCTATTTTTCCTGCTCCTTGGCTTGCCTTTCAAAAATCTTTTACAACACCCTGAGGAAAAACTAGGCAGGCTGTGCATTGCATTCAGTAGTGCTAATTATAGGGACTATCTGGAATAATTGCTTTTAAGAAACAGACATATAATGATCTTTTTTTTTAGCATCTTGGGGGAGTCAGTGATGCCTGTATGGAAGACAAAAATTTGGACAGGAGTCAAATTCTGATTTTGCATCTCTCATTATGGAGCTTTGGAAGGTCATAACGTCACCTGTCGTCATCTTGGAGATGTTTTAAAATGCTTACCAAGCTAGCGTGATACAATCAGATACGGGCTAAATCTTTCTCAAGGGAATCTGGTATAGCAGGTTGAAGCAGCATTTGAATCTCAATTTATTTATTAAGGTCGTGGTTACCAGTGTGTAACACTTCAGTTCCAAGTCCAGATGCTGTTCTGGGTTAGCGTGGTGCGAGAGGGTTCACCTGAGGTTTTCAGACCTCTAGTAGTATTTCCAGAAATTGGAACAATCACGATTCACTTTGAGAGCTCTGACAAGAACTATAGGTGAAGGATTTGTGTTACATATTAAGAATGTTAGATGACATATTGTTGCTGGGCGGTGAGAGATTATTCATGAGAATCTTTTAAACATAGTAGTGAGCTGACACATATAAGCCCTTCAGCTGCAGAGCTCGTACACTTAAAATGGGCAAGAAGTTTTTTTTTCTCAGCTACTTCTCTTTGGAGCTTTTATTCTACGCTTATGGGAGTCTGCGCCTGGTTTCTAATGGAATACTTGGAACATCAGAATTCTCTATATAGTTTTAACTGAAGCGTCTTTGAAGAAAAGTGGTTGCTTTGTTACCAAGATAGAAATAGCAGCTTCTCTAAGCAGTTGAGCAGTTAAATTACAAATCAGTAAAAAAAAAATATAGGAAGAGTGTAGCAAAAAGTAACTCGTAATTAATGATAGAATATACTTGCTTGCAGTTCTTTTCTTGAAGTCTCTAACATTTAAAAACGTTTTTCCTTTTTCCTTCATAGCGTTGGCTGACTGAACAAAGAGCTCAGTGCCCTCATTGTAGGTAAGGTATTTTTAATACCAGAAACAATCAGGAAGGGGGTGAACTGTCCGGTTATGATTGATCTTTTTTTTTCATTGCAGGTTGCATTATATTTGTAAGCTTTATTTTTGACACCTGCCTGCTGTTACTATAAAAATTTACTGTGGTATAATACTTATTCTACAATAACTAGTACCGCTTCAACTTTCTGCCTGTGACTTTTCCCACAGGGTGGGCTGGATGAACTGAATTAACTTCAATGCTTCTCTTTTCACTCCTGGAGCTGAGTTCTTGTTCTAACTCCAGCAATGCTTCTTGCAGAGCCCCGCTGCAGCTACGAGAGCTCGTAAACTGTCGTTGGGCAGAAGAGGTCACACAACAGCTCGATACGCTTCAGCTGTGCAACCTCACAAAGCACGAGGAGAACGAAAAAGACAAGTAAATGGAGCATTCTTCACAGAAAGTGTTTTGCAGTTTGCCGTATGAGTGTGCTTTTGTGTTCACTTCCTTGTTAAAATCCGGGAAGAAACTGTTAACTTAAAAGCTGAGTTGTGTTCACTGTATTTTCTTAGCAGGCTTTTCTTCTGGTTTTGTCCCATTACCAGTGCTGTCGTGTGTTTTATGATATGTTCTGGAGTTTTGGAGGAGAAAAGTGTGAGAAGAAGCACTGAGAGGTGGACAGGGCTTAATTATGTGTTCTGTGCCTGCCTCCTGCCCAAGTTACTGAACCCTAGTGGAGAGGGAAGGCAGAAGCATGTATTTTGGGTCTGGCTTGGTCTGTGCTCAGTTTATTGATTGATGCTATTTCTGAAATTTTAAGAGATGACAAAGATCAATTTGTCCAAAAACCTTATGAGCCGTTGCTCTGTGGTTACTTTGGTTAGTGTATGCTTAGGATTTTAATAATGTGAAGTATTAACTTCTGGAATTCTGAGCTTGATCTGTTGTCATGCTGGATAGAAATCCAATGTTAGTAATTTACTTTCTATCTCTGTGAAGTAGTTCCTGAGAGAATACTAGGAGCAACATTTATTTTACAAAAGTATTTTACTGAATATGAATATTCTTGTTGCAGAACAATGCTGATGTTTAGTGCTTTACTCTCAGTATCAGGTAGCAAAAACAAGTGAATACATTAAACTTGAGTTTGTGGAAAATTCACAGCTGTTTTCCATGGATGATTTTGTTTCTTTGTTTGTTGAAGGTGTGAAAATCATCATGAAAAGCTTAGTGTTTTCTGCTGGACCTGCAAGAAGTGTATCTGCCACCAGTGTGCCCTTTGGGGAGGAATGGTAAGAAGAGGCTTGCTTGTCTGCATGTGGTGTCCGCGGTGCGGGACTGCGAGCGTTCTGTTTGCCAGCAGTTTGAAGAAAGAGAAGGGCAAGGGAACTCTCGTTACAGCTGCTGAATTGCTGTGCAAATACTGCAGCTGTATGTGTGTTTTTAATCTTGGAAAATACAGGTAACACTTATTTAAATGTTCTGGCCTGTAATCTTGAATGTCTTGAAAGCTGAATGAGTAGCACATTCACCACACTGTTTATTATCCTTGTAAGTGTTTATCTCAAGGAGAGACTGATGTCAATTTTTGGAATGCAAGCAGTTAACAGTGTGCTGCCTGTGTTTGGGAAGGGTGTTTTAATAATAATAATAATAATAAATATAAAGTAACCCTTCTATCCTTATTTGATTTGTTAGAGAATTGCACAGTGAATGAAGCAGTTTATTTCTGGAGGGTTGTTGAGACTCCAAATAACTCTTGACAGGAAGCTTTGATGGTATGAAAGCCAAATTCATGACTTCTTATGAAGGGAAGTGAAAGACAGGCTTCCTACGTACAATCTGCTTTGGAACTTTTCCAAAACGAGTGGTACACTAGGAGGCTTTCTTCCCCTCTCTTTCAGTAATTTAATAGGAGTAGAATAAAGTTAAAATGAGATGTTCTCTAATTCTCCACCTCCTTCCCCTCACCTCCCCCTGCCCCCTTTTTTTTTTTTTTTAACAGCATGGAGGACATACTTTTAAGCCGCTGGCAGAAATCTATGAGCAACATGTCACTAAAGTAAATGAAGAAGTGGCAAAGCTTAGGAGGAGACTCATGGAATTGATCAGTTTGGTGCAAGAAGTGGTAAGAAGTTGATCCAAGGTGACGTTAAGTTTTCCTGTAGAATGCCATTGTCAAAGGATAACTGTGAAGTGGGAAGTGGCAATAGTACAGTTTTGTATGTCCATGGTGGTTTTTAGCTCTGCTTCAGCTCCAGGGTGACTGTTAGATCACCAGGTGGGCTCCCTGTATGTTTCTATAAAATGTTGAGAGGGTTGTGGCCTTCACCTTTTTAATCAAATTATTCTCGTTACCGAGAAGGTAACTGTTCTGCACTGCACTGGTTATGGAAGAGAAATTGGTAGTTGTATCTACAAATTTTGGTATTAAAGAATCCTGATACAACGAATCTCTTACGTAATGCGAAAATGTTGCTCGGCTGTATTGTTAACCTTTGGTCACCCACCAGAGGGCACGCTTACGGATTTGCTGAGAGGCAAAGGATATTTACAGCTGGGTACTCACCGGCCTGTAATACAGCTCATCTGAAAACACGTTCCCGTTTTCTAAATGGGTGAAACGTGCAAAAGTGTGACGGCTTAGCTTTTGTCTCTGTGTTTTCCTGATCCTCTGTTTCAGGAGAGGAATGTGGAGGCAGTGCGTAGCGCGAAGGATGAACGAGTTCGGGAAATCAGGAACGCGGTGGAGATGATGATTGCCCGGTTGGACACTCAGCTGAAGAATAAGCTTATAACACTAATGGGTAGGTATTGGCCTCACCTGCTATGAGTAGGAGCAACATGGTAACGATGTGTGAACCTGTTGAGAAACTTTCTTGCTCAGGGAGTGTGAGAGCGAATTCAGTGAAGTCAAACCTGTTTTTTTTGTTCAAAAAAGCGCCCCACAACAGCAAACCTGCTGTTTCTGGGACACAGAATGTTTCATTACTGCCTTAACCTCAAGAGAGTTCTCCACTACGGTTCTAATTAAAAATGTTGGCTTGCTTTTAAAATGCTTTCTCAATCCACCTGGGTATATTTAGAAACCCCTTACCTTAGCAGGTTCTGGGGCAACTTCTAGGTTAAAAATAACAAACAACTCCCTTTCTTAAAATCCAGTGGATATGTTGTTGTGTGTTGTTACGTTTGTTTGTTTGTTTTTCTTTAACCATACGTTCTTTGCTTTAAACAGGTCAGAAGACATCCCTTTCTTAAAATCCAGTGGATATGTTGTTTTGTGTTGTTATGTTTGTTTGTTTGTTTTTCTTTAACCATATGTTCTTTGCTTTAAACAGGTCAGAAGACGTCGCTTACTCAAGAAACTGAACTTCTGGAATCCCTGCTTCAGGAAGTAGAACATCAGGTGATTATGAAAAGAACTGAAATGTTGTGTCACTTAGATTCCTCCTCAGTTGGCCTTTCTTATTGTTTTATTTGTTTTTAAACTATTAATTGATGGATATTTCTTGAGGGAATCTTCATTTAAGTGGTCCTAGGTCTCCTCAGTTGGCCTTTCTTATTGTTTTATTTATTTTAAAACTGTTAATTGATGGATGTTTCTTGAGGGAATCTTTTCATTTAAGTGGTCCTAGGGTACACAATTTCTTCTTAAAATTCTTCTAGAAATAGACTTGTAGAAATAACGAAAGGTGTTCTGTTGTTTGAAAAACGAGTACAGGGGTTAACAGTAGTATTGTATAAAACTACACAGTTACATGTTTGTTTAAGGTAACTTGGCATTTAGGCGGTGTCAGTAGATTCTGTTAGTTCTGCCGCTGCCAACGGCATGCGTAGTGGTGGCTATAAATGGAGAAGGAACAAAAATGTTCTGTTTCTCTTTGTGCTTTTGAAGAAAACTGTACTGGTTTTAGTTCTTTTATTCCTGTCCACCTGTATTTCAGTGAAGATGACTTAATTTTTTCATCGTGCTTCTAGCTATACAAGTTCAGCTTTTGTAAATGAAATATTCAGGTTCTGCAGAGTTTGATCGTGCTTGCCCTGAAGAATTTCTCCTTGCTCTGAGGAAACGGGAGGGTTTTCTTCCTTCAGGCATTACTGTGTCCAGTAGTTATCTTTGAGCAGAGTCTGACGTTTTAGGTTGGAGATGGGGGTTAAGCTTCTTTGAGTGATGCCTCTTGCCCTATATTCCTTTTTCATGCCCTGCACTGCTTTGGATTCAGTAAGAAGCTAAGCTGGCTTTATTGCCTGCTCAGCGATTATCGTGTTCTCCTGGCACTTAAGTTAATTATTTCATACCGACGATGAGATGTCTTAGTTGAAGAATTGATGAAATCAGGAAGATGAGTGCTCCTGCATGTTTTGTATCAGTGTGGGGGTTTTGTCTGTTTGTTGAGAGCTCTCTGTGTGTAGATCTTTCAGAAATTACTTAGGTCGCAGCCCAAATGAGGACCTCCTAAATCCTGAGTAGCAGTCCTTCTGAAACTGCAGAAAAAAACCCACCTTAAAACCTGTCTAATGTCACAGGAACTTGAATCACCGTGTTGTGATGTATTTGAGCAAATTATCCCCATGTCTAATGAAGTGTCCTTTCCAGATCGATTTACTTTTTTGTTGCCTGCACACAGTAACAGATGTGACTTGGTAGTAATCGGCCATCTTTTATATAAATTAGGTTATCCTAAGTACTTGGTAGTTGCTGTAATTTTCATTGTAGAATTTGACAGAGCCTTAAATATTCAGAACTTCACGAACAGGTTGCATATGGGTGAGACAGAATTAGAATATCTGAGTTTCCTAACAGAAGTGTGAGAACACGGGACCATTGGCTATCATAGGCAAATTCTTAGTCTTAAGAGCTAACAGTTTCAAGGGAAATACAACTCAAATTAAAAAAAAACCAAACAAACCTCCAGGCTTCCTTTTACATTGCATGTGGATAATCTTTCTGAAGCTGTCAAAGGCATGCAGTTTATCTGTTTAAAAATAAAAGTGGTCAAAACCTATGGTTTCTACTAACGAGGATTTATTTTTTCCTTTTTGTTTGTTCCCATACAGTTACGATCATGCAGCAAGAGTGAGCTGATCTCCAAAAGTTCGGAGATCCTCATGATGTTCCAGCAGGTTCATCGGAAGCCTATGGCCTCGTTTGTCACTACTCCAGTTCCCCCAGACTTCACAAGGTGAGCCCTGCATTTCCTTTCTGTTGTAGCTTGAACTTCAAAGCCATCTTATAAAGGTTTGCTTTGTTTGTTAAAAAATTATTGAAGTAACTTCGGGGAGGGTATCTCTCTCCCGTGTTACTGTACCATTGTAGTGAGGAGCATGCTCCAGTGAATCCGAGAAGTCGATGTGTTCGTACGTGGGTCAGCCTTTTGTAAAACTAGGGCTGGTGGGTGCTGCTGGATTTAACACAGGGGTTTGAAAGCGCAGAGGGCAAGTGGCTGAGGGGCAGGTTGCTGGTGAGCTGGAGGGAAGGGGAGTCTGACTTAGCTGTGTGGGCAGTGGTAATCTGGAGGGTAACATGGTTTGCTCGTTTCTGTGTTGAACTTTATCTCTGACTGAATCTGAGTCCAGGTTTATACAATGGGATTAATAAAGTGCTTACTCCTCCTAGTAACCTGTGCTGCAAGTAGGCTTTTCTGTTCCAGCAGGGCTTATTTTATGTCTGTAGTCCCTGCTGGGGAGTCAGGACAGTGGGTTCTAGCTGACAAATTTTTTTTTTTCCCCTCTTTTACACTTAGTTTACTGATTTGTCCTTTTTCTCCTATTATTGGGTCGTTCAGTATATAATTGCAAGGCTCCCGTGAGATGCCTCTGCAGGTCACCTTAATTCAGAAGGTATAGCCAAAATCACTTCATAGCACAATTCTGTGTGAAGAGAATGCTGATAGTGTTAGGTTCTGGGGAAGTTCGTTGAGAGTTTAGGCAAGCTGGCTGAAAAGCATCTCCAAAATTTGGAAGGTAGGAGAAGTCTTAAAAGAATTCCTCAAATAAGCTGTGTGTTGTCTAGCAAAAGATTTACCACATTAAGAGTTTTTTAGCCATTACAGGTAAAAGGACAAATCCCCTTAAATGCTTTTAGTTGCTTCTCCTTTCATAACATGTTTGTCTTATTGTGGGATATTATGTAAGGAGGTACTGGGCAGAAGGTTTATAAACGGATTTTTAGGAAGTACTGAAATAATCAGTGTAGTTGTAGTGAATGTCAGCAGCTCTGGTGACATAAATCATCTTAAATGCTTCTGAAGATCCAAAAGTTGGTAGTTTTAGTGTCATGTTTTTCAGCTCCAGTATATTTATTTTTTCCTCCCCAGTGAGTTGGTTCCAGCCTATGACTCAACTACATTTGTCTTGGAAAACTTCAGGTATGAAGGGATCTGAAATTACTGTGACTATTGGGAAGCTTTTTCTGTTTCCTCTGTATGTGAGTAGTTTTCTTTAAAACCCAGAGTAGTCTTTACAGAGAACTGTTACATATGAACTAAGGAATTCTTCAAAAATCCCATGTTTACCAGGTGAATGATTAACCCTAGATAAATTGTTAGCTAAGAAGATTATTCCGTTATAAAGGTGAACCACTTTTCTTTTTTAAAAAAAAAAAAAAATCGGGTAATTTTGCAAGGAATACATTTAATTGTACAGATGCTTAACATTTTACATGGGCTTTGCTGCTGTGCACTGTGCAGCAAGAAGGGGGGTTCTAGAGTGTGAGAGCACAAGTGTGTACGCAGCTTACTCTTTCCTGGAGGGTTTTGCTTTGTCCCAACAGCAAATGTTTTTTCTCCTTTCTCAACAGTACTTTGCGTCAGCGAGCAGATCCTGTGTACAGTCCACCTCTTCAAGTGTCGGGACTTTGCTGGAGATTAAAAGTTTATCCAGTGAGTTACGTTTTCAACTCGAATTATCATCCCATCCAAAACTCTTAACCAGCGTTTGTGCACCTCTTGTAAGGAAGCATCAGTCAGTGTCTTCTTGTGTGGTGGATGGCAAGAACGAAACGATGTTGTAGAGTTGATTGCCTGCTCTTGGGAGTATTCCCTCTCTGCCTCCAGATAGTCAACATGAATGTTCTTAGTATAGTTAATCTGGCTAATTTAAAAGCAATTACAAATGGGTTTTACCAATATGCCATAGGAACTTGAACAAATGTTTTTACCCTTTTTGCTGAGTGGTTTTTGCAGATGTTCCTTGCAGAACAGAGGTCTAGAAAAATTTACCATGTTTATGAATGCTGCTTTTTTGGGTAAGTTGGGAAGAAGACAAGGTATTAGCTGAAGGAATTTGTGTACTGTGCATCCAGTTCTGGAATGCCAACGTGGCATTTGTTGTACGAATGTGCTGTCAGTAGGCTGAATACTCAGATTTCTGAAGCAATGTCCTTGCCAGTGTAGGGATGTTAACCCCCAAGGTGTCATCTTTTTACAGTCTGCTAGTCTGGTCAGTGCTTCCAGGAAGCTCTGGCCGCTACTAGAGCTGTGCTGGGAGAAATCTGTGCTTAGTGGGGGAGCAGAGGTTTTGTTAGTGATCAACACAGCATTTTCCCAGAACCAGGTTAATCTGCTAAGCCCAGGTATGCCAGCATCGTGTTCTTGCGAGGCAGAGATGGACCCTATGTAAGTTTTCAGAGTATTTGTAAGGTCAGGATTGGCTACGTGAGGTAGTGCTGTCAGGAGGCATTAAAATTTATTTTTTAAATGGTAAGTTGAAATGTTTCTTCAACCTAGAGGATTCAAGTTGAGCCATTCTTCATCCTTGGTTAAGGTGAGTGTGATGGAGGTTTTTGCCATATTTTTTCTTGATTTCTGGTGATTGTTTCTCAGTTAACTGACCTAACTCTTTCATGTTGCATGTGGTTTTTCTGAAGAAATTGGTCTTCTGTCAAAAATAAAGTAGCTTTGAAATGCAGCTGTATATAAAATATTTCAGAACTAATGTTTAACCTAAGCAGTTTTCATGTTAAGAGTTTGAGAAGGGGACTGTAATAAAATGCTAAGTAGATTTTATGTGCTTTTTTTTTTTAACTGCTTTTTCTGTGTGTTAAATAAGTGTTTTTCCAGTACACTGACAAGTGTTTGTCTATTCAGTCTTCCACTTAATTGAACCCCTAGAATGTTATAGAGTAATTGAAGATCTGTTTTGAGATTGCTGTCTGAGATACCAGTACTAGCCTGCATATGTACTTTCAAATGCCCACTTCCAGATGATTCAAGTTCCAGTAAGACTTCTAGGTCACAGAAGACTAAAAATCAAAACTGTAGCATACAAAGTAGACTGCTGCTGCAAATTCTGTATTGATTGATGCTCTTTTCTAACCTTTGAGGTTATATCAAGGTGCCTTATTTTGTTTCTCCTGCTTTTTGATTATTTTTTTGGTCAATTTATCTCTCAATTGTATTTGTTTCGAGGATGGAAATGGAGTAGTACGGGGCTACTACCTCTCTGTGTTCTTGGAGCTGTCCGCTGGATTGCCAGAGACATCCAAGTAAGCAAACCTGTAGTAAGAGCAGCCATTTTTTAAATTTTATTCTTTTCTTTTCTGTTGGCAAAGCATCTGGAGAGGTTTGCAAGGAATAGCCTCAAGTTCTTAGCGTTGCCAGGGACTGATGCAAAAACCCTCTTGAAAAGAACAGCGAGACTTCTGTTGTCCACTGAATCGTGCCCAGAGAGAATACTTTAAAGTTGCTGCTTGGTAGCTTTCTTCAGATAAGGAGCAAGCTGGCAGAACAACCGATAAGAATGTCTCCTAGTATTCAGTCCTAAAGTCGGTTTAGCACTCCCTGTCACTGCTTTCTTCCCCCTTGTACAGTTTATATAAGTGTTCAGTAAAATTTTAAGACTGAATCACCTTATCAGCTGGGCACGCAGGCCTCTAGGGAAGTGCAGTTCTGTTACACCTGACATACTTGGTAATCCTGATGTCTTAATTTCGGTATTAATAACTGTGATTGTGCCCTGTGTAGGTATGAGTACCGTGTGGAAATGGTTCACCAATCCACCAACGATCCCACCAAAAACATAATTCGAGAGTTTGCGTCCGATTTTGAAGTAGGAGAATGCTGGGGTTACAACAGATTCTTCCGTTTGGACTTGCTAGCCAACGAAGGCTACTTAAACAGGCAAAACGACACGGTGATCCTGAGGTGAGGAGGAGAGCTTAGTGGGGCTCTTCTGCTATCAGTTCTGCTGTCGTTTCACAAAGCATCACACCTACTGCTGAAAGGGGAAATAATTAGGTAGCTGAATTGAAAATAAGTGTGACATGTTTTGTCACAAATGGATTTCACTGTCTTAAGCTTTAAAGAAGGAAATGTGCTGAAGAGAGTGGTGGAGACTTGAAGTCTCTCTCTTTCTTGGAGAAGCAGCTACACTTGACACTGATAAGCCTGGGTTAGAGATTTGTAGCTAACGGAAATAAAGGAAAAGCGTGTTTTCTCCCCCTCTTTAGAAAGAGCTCTAGTGAGCATAAGAGAACTTTGGGAATAAAGGAAGTTTGTAATTTAAGAGAACTAATGCTGTCAATGGGAATTGCAAAGTTATAATCAAATACAGAAGCCTTATCCATCTACTCCAGGTATTCTTTGTACAGTCCTACTCTGACTCCTGTGGAACGCTCTGTAGTTTCTGAAGGTAACCAATGCTCATACGACTGCCTCTCCTACAAAATACGTGCTGTCGCCATTCAGTGCATTCAGGATACCAAGTATAGTAATTCGTGTTGTCTCAGGTTTATTTCATAACTAGATTTCAGGTTGTCTGATGTATGCAGGGCTTTTGGATTTCGGCAGGGGGGAACAAAACCAAAACCCAAAACAAAAAGACAAAAAAACCCCACAAAATCTTTTTTCAAAATGTTCCTTTGAAGGTTTCAAGTGCGCTCACCAACCTTCTTCCAAAAGTGCCGAGATCAACACTGGTACATTGCTCAATTGGAAGCAGCTCAGACGAGTTATATCCAGCAAATAAATAACCTTAAAGAAGTAAGTGGGATGTACATTAATGTAAAATTGCACTTTACTTACCAGTAACTATGTGGTTTAGGTTACAATGTTCATGTTTGACAATTGTGTTTATTTGGGTTGCTATCCTAGTTTGATATTGACATTATTAAAATTATTTTTT